CTCTGTGTTTCGGCTTTCTGGGCAGGTAGCGTCATGTGAAACAGCCTGGAGGTGTGTTTGGGGTCATTGTCCTGTTGAAAAATAAATGATGGTCCAACTAAACGCAAACCGGATGGAATAGCATGCCGCTGCAAGATGCTGTGTTAGCCATGCTGGTTCAGTATGCCTTCAATTTTGAATAAATCCCCAACAGTGTCACCAGCAAAGCACCCCCACACCATCACACCTCCTCCTCCATGCTTCACGGTGGGAACCAGGCATGTAGAGTCCATCCGTTCACCTTTTCTGCGTCGCACAAAGACACGGTGGTTGGAACCAAAGATCACAAATTTGGACTCATCAGACCAAAGCACAGATTTCCACTGGTCTAATGTCCATTCCTTGTGTTCTTTAGCCCAAACAAGTCTCTTCTGCTTGTTGCCTGTCCTTAGCAGTGGTTTCCTAGCAGCTATTCTACCATGAAGGCCTGATTCACACAGTCTTCTCTTAACAGTTGTTGCAGAGATGTGTCTGCTGCTAGAACTCTGTGTGGCCTCTAATCTGAGCTGCTGTTAACCTGCGATTTCTGAGGCTGGTGACTCGGATGAACTTATCCTCCGCAGCAGAGGTGACTCTTGGTCTTCCTTTCCTGGGGCGGTCCTCATGTGAGCCAGTTTCTTTGTAGCGCTTGATGGTTTTTGCGACTGCACTTGGGGACACTTTCAAAGTTTTCCCAATTTTTCGGACTGACTGACCTTCATTTCTTAAAGTAATGATGGCCACTCGTTTTTCTTTACTTTGCTGCTTTTGTCTTGCCACAATACAAATTCTAACACTCTATTCAGTAGGACCATCAGCTGTTTGTCCACCTGACTTCTGCACAACACAACTGATGGTTCCCAACCCCATTTATAAGGCAAGAAATCCCATGTATTAACCTGACAGGGCACAGCTGAGAAGTGAAAACCATTTCAGGTGACGGCCTCTTGAAACTCATCAAGAGAATGCAGAGTGTGTGCAAAGCAGTAATCACAGCAAAATGTGGCTACTTTGAAGAACCTAGAATAAAAGGCGTATTTTCAGTTGTTTTACACTTTTTTGTTTAGTATATATTTCCACATGTGTTAATTCATAGTTCTGATGCCTTCAGTGTGAATCTACAATGTCAATAGTCATGAAAATAAAGGAAACTCATTGAATGAGTTGGTGTGTCCAAACTTTTGGTCTGTACTGTATGAATGAAAAAAAAAATATAAAGTTGCTAATAAAGTTGCATTTTTCACTTAGAGACACATTTATTGTGTACAAGAGCTTAAGTTTTTTCTTAAAATATAAATATATAAAACTGTTCCTGTACGATATAGACAGACACTTACAGTAAGCCAAGACAATGTCTTATTTGCATGGTCACATCCCCACATAAATCTACTGCAAAATGAAACAATAAAACCTTACTACACCCTCTGAACAGTTACAGGTCTCCCTCTCTCACCTGTCTTACTGCTTTGCTGGTTGCAGTGTAGTTGTCCTCATCGTCCAGGTTGCTGAAGTTGTGAGCCGTGGCGAGTCTCTCAAGGAGTTCAGCTCTCTGGACATTCAGCTGGGCCAAAAAGCACTGAGCACCTAAGAAACAGGACAGCCTGAAGCTTGTGCAGATCTAAATGAATATGGCCCCACAAATATACAAATAAACTTTCAGGAAATTTTTAATGTCAAGACTTGTTTCTTGTTTTCTAGAAAGTTAGAAAACTGCCTATCTTCTGATAAGATGTTTGTGTTCAACCGTTTAAATGTTTTGGTTCGATTTGATTCGAAATCTTATCTCCATCAATCACTCTGCTCATTTCATGAAAATATTGCATGTTTAGTTGATTTTAGTGAAAAAAAAATCAATGTATTTACAGTTGCATTTTTACCTCAGATTGTTGTAGCCCTCTTCTTGACAAGCATTAAACACCAATTCATTATAGACTTTTTAAGACCATTATGAATTAAATGTAAGAATAGGGATGCTCCGATCAGGATTTTTGCTGCCGATTCCGATGCTGATCATCCATGAAGCCGATCTTTGCCGATCACCCGGAATGGCTGATAATTTTTCACTTTAGCTATAAATGATACTATATTGTCTGGCAAAATGGAAAAATTATCTGGCAATAAATTCACCTAATTTAGACATAATAGACATATTTTAATAAATATTTAACATCTTTTTCAATTCACATACTGCAGCTTTAAGCAGACGTTCAATGTGAGAGTTCAGTCTGGTAGAGGTTGAGCGGCTCTACATCTGTGAAATATTACTACCAGTAACGCGTAGCGGCGGTTCAAGAGCGAGAGCAGAACCAGCATCTTACACCGCCAGCTTGAAGACTTGAATTATTTTTCTGGTTATTTGTTTAGACATAATAGACCATCATGCTCTGTTATGACCATCATGCTCTTCCAGGTGAGTGTTGGTAGCTGTGCGCTGCCAATTGACTGGCACACCTCTAATGTCTATATTTTTCTTAACTGCTGGCTCACCCAGTTTCCTGAATCCAGGCACCATGTCAACAAAAGTCGCGACGCCCTCGCTGAGGGGCTGCGGCAGGTGGGCTCGAAAATGGTGCCCCAGTGTGAGCAGGTGGTGCGCCAAGTACATGCAGTTGTTGTGCTGGACAGCAGCAAGGTGGGGAAATTTGAGTAGGTTCTCCCTAAAAAGATTAAAATTACAAACATTCATCTCTCCAGATACAGTATGTGGTTTATGCGACCTGGGATAGAAGCATTCTTACTTGTGGTACGTCGGCACAACATCATAGAAAAGCTGAAAAATGTTTCTCACAGTGAAGAAGAGCTGCAAGGCGCTGAAAAACAGAGAGACATATTAGCTGGGTTTTTCTCCCAGGGGGAGGCCAGCTGCATTTAAACAGTAAAAGTCTCTGAAACTTACCACTGAGTGGAGCTTCCTACAGCCTCACACAGCGTGTTGACCGCCAGCTCCATCAGCTGTTGCACAGACTCACTGATGCGACAGGCTGGCAGGCGTAGACTGCAGGCAGACAACTGCTTGGAGTTCTCAATCGGCACCTCTTCCTTCACCACCTCCTGCTTCACTTTCACCTCTGAACCGGGAGGAGGCAGTTTGGGCAGCCGCAGTTTCGACTCAGGGCTGATCTAATGGAGGAGAAAAGAATCGAAGCTACTGAGAGAAACTTGACAGGGGGACACAATGTGAGGATGCTGCTGAAAGATTCAATTCTAGCCCAGGCACAACTGTGCCACATTGCTAAATTCACTTTTAATGTTTTCGTAACATTTTTCCCTCTTCCCTCTTGTTGTTATTGTCTTTTTACTCATCTGTACTTGTAAACATAGAACCATGCACAACAAATGGTACATAAAAAATAACTAGTCATTAAAAATAACTTAAGTATGAGAATTAGGGCTGCAACGAATGATTAATTTAGGAATTGATTATTCTGATGATTAATCAAATAAAATAATTGGCAGATTCTACAAAATTTCCATAAAACCTGAAATATTTTTATTTAATATTAGGACTATCTTAAAAGATGCAAATAAGCAATTCAATTTCATTTGAGCTACAAAAACATTTTTTTTTTGCCTAATATGCAATACAACATTCCCTTAGTGAAAAAAAAAAAAAAATATATATATATATATATATATATATATATATATATATATATACACATTAGAAGATATTACACCCAGTTATGCTTCCTTGCTCTTGTATGTCAGCCATTTAGACCAACGTTTGTTGTAAGAATGTCCTTTCATACGTAAAAGATATGTCAGTTTTTCCATAGAGTGAATCTCCTCCATGACGTCCCTCCAGTGGTCCAGCTGGGGGGAGAGTTTCTTTAGCCAAGAT